TTTGCCATTTAGACAAATGTTTTTTCTAACTGCTTTTACGAAATCTCAAATCTGAGAAAGGTGGAGCCATGCACAGAGAAGCCAGGGTGGCACGCCTGAAGCCATAAAATCTAGCTCTCCAGCAGTCCTTGCAAGGGCCTCTGGAGCTCCAGGGAGCACAATTGGAAAGAGCTAAGAGACACACATACATTAAGCTGAATAAGAGAGTGAGGATTCAACCATTTAAACTCCAACTGTGGTTGTTGTTACCTGGAATATAAAGTTTTCTCACTGTCTTAAAATCAACTAATGAGCATTTATAAGAATATCATTAAAAAGACTACACTAACAGAAGGAAAACAAGGAAGGAGGAAACAAGAGAATTGGGGACATACAGAAAAAGTAGAGAAGGAATATAACAGAAACAAAAATTATATCAAATGATAACCATAGGCATGGCTCTTTATAACAACTGTAACATCAGCAAAATAACAGTAACTACTTGTAGGACCCTCTCCTGAGCCAGATGGGCCAAGCCCAATGAATATATCATATCATTCTTACCATACCCCTGAGAAATGCTATTCTCCATTTTACAAATGAAGAAAAAGCAGCATGAAAAGTTAGGAATGTGTTTAAAATCACAAAGCAAATTAGAGATGGGACTCAAATGCTAAGGTATCCAAGGTCAAAGCCTGGACAGGCAACACATTTGAAAATATTCGGTTTATGACAAGACACATAGCTTGAAGTCATTGTTTTAATATGCCCACAATGTGGACTAGCCATGCATTCTGGTTTGCCAGGAACAATCCCAGTTTCCATCTGTTTCCCAGTGTAATTACTAATAGCACTCCCTTTCACTCTCAGAAGTGTCCCAGTTTAGACAGTAAATTATATGGTCATCCTGCCTCAATGCCACTGACCCACAATATAACTGGCCTATACAATTTTCCAGGCCCTGTGCAAAATAAAAATGTGAGGTCTCTTGTTCAAAAAGCAGGGGGCTGTTGGGGAATGCTATTAAAGGTACTGAAATATAACACTTTTTTCTTTCATGTGTCTGCTCTGCTCATGTCCATTGTCCCACCAGACTTCATTTGCAAAACACAAGGTCAAAGATAAAATTGGCAAGAATTTCAAGATGGCAATAGTAGAGCATTAAAACAAGCTGGGCATCCTTCTCAGCTCAGAACCGTGGGCCACTGCACAGGATGTGCATCGAAGAAGCCAGCCCTGGGTCTTCCTTTTCTCTGTCCACTCACATGAGTCTGTCATCTCGGCAGGCTCTGTCACAGGTTTGCAAACAGGAAACAGGTTGTAACTTACTATTGCCCAGACTTTGGATGTTAAATACTGGATGTTAGGTTCACATAATCATTTATTTAGAAGAAATATTTTTAACAAAGCAAAAAATTTCATTTCCCAAGCAAAACAAGAACATAAATTCAAGCAAATTAGATCACTCTCTAACATTTTATCTGTGACCTAAAAATAACCTATCCATGATCTCAAACAAAAATTTAAAATATATGAAACAATAGTGCATGCAAAGTCTTTAATACCTCAATACCTGATTTAAATCATGTTTCTGTTTTAAAGGCAGGTACTACATTTGAAATTTTTTGCTGCATAAATTCATATGTGCCTGAGCAAAACTGAAAATTCTACTGTTTCTTTAGACCAAACGGAAGAAAACAGGAAATCAAAATGTTCAGGATAATTGAGGCACTATCCTTAAAAATGGAGTAGGAGGAGAGAGGGTGGGTCAACTCACTGATTCATGCATGCACTCAACAAGCATGTATTGAGTACCTACAATGTCACAAGCACTGCACACAATTATGGAAAGCACAGGCAGACAAGGTGGTATGTCCCTGTCCTCAAGGAGGTCTAACAGAATGAGACCAAAGTAAACAAAAATCAATGACTCTGGGTCCCTGTCCTCAAGGAGGTCTAACAGAATGAGACCAAAGTAAACAAAAATCAATGACTTTGGGTACTATGGAAGAAGGAAATGCAGGGTAAAGTGGATATAAGCAAGGAGCACCTGGGAAGAAGGGGCTAACTGAGCCTCGAAAGGAATCCACAAGGTACAAAAGGAAGGCCCCAGGAAGAACAAAGGCTGTGCTGAGGAAGCACAGCCCACCATGGAAAGAGTAGCCAGGTGAAGGCACAGAGCTTTGTTCAAACAGCAGTGTGTGCCGGGGGGCAACTACAGAGAAGATGCAGAGAGACAAATACCATGGCATAGAGAAGAAAGGCAAGGCTCACGGGCTGTCTTGGGGATGGCAGTGGGGTAAGATGCTCTTTCCTTAAAGGCCAAAGTGTGGGAATTGAGGCGAGAGAGGGCTCAGAAATAGGAAAGATTTTAGAAAAGCTTTTCCCTCTAGCCATATGATTTCTTTTTTTTTTTTTCTTGAGACAGAGTCTTGCTCTGTCGCCCAGGCTGGAGTGCCGTGGTACGATCTCGGCTCACTGCAACCTCCACCTCCCAGGTTCAAGCGATTCTCCTGCCTCAGCCTCCTGAGTAACTAGAATTAAATATGTTCACCACCACGCCCAGCTAATTTTTTGTATTTTTAGTAGAGATGGGGTTTCACCACGTTGGCCAGGCTGCTCTCGAACTCCTGATCTCAGGTGACCCACCCACCTCGGTCCCCAAAAGTGCTGGGACATAAGATCTTTTTATAAAGGTAGTAATACCATTTTGTTTGCTTATTTATAGGGTGGTTAAGTAAAAATACATTCTTAGTAGAACTAAAAATATGTTTTTTAACCTCTTCTTCCTCTTCCTACTAAAGATTAGTCATCATTCATCCGTGTTAATGGCTTAAAGCAATAATAGAAATGATTAATGACTAATCTAACAAATATTTAATTTGACTTAGGAGTAAACTATCAATTTTTGGCAACAAATTTACCACTCGACTTATTTAATACTATGGCTAACCTTTAAAAATAACTTCTATTGTTTGTTTCCATCTCTGATCATTCCCTTAGGACTGGTTCCTAGAAGAGGAATTACCAGGCCAAAGGGTTTGAATAGCTTAAAAGCTCTTGGTACACATTAGCATAGTCTAATATCAAAACCAGAGTGACTACATCAACTTCAGGTAACCAAGAAAACTCTATGGGGTGTAAATGTTGCTATAAATAACACCCTAAAAAGAAAATCTAATAACATATTATAAATAGATCTTAGGCTTTGTAAGCCAGAGTAAACTTTTATTTAGGATGACATTCAGACTAATTAGTGCATTTGTACATATAAACATAAACAGGCACAAATGATGCACAAAGAAAACAAAAAGTGGAAGAGCCCATAGATTCTGAGAGAGATAAAAAGAAATCATGAAATGATGTTCTCCTTATAGAAGGGGAAAATTTATTTTATATTTTCCATACTTTCTTACCTAACTCTATATACTAATAGTAAGTTTTCTGTTGTAATGATCAGGTTTAAGATTAGAAGAAAAACTGATATTTTAAATAAAGATCAACAAATTAAGTTTTTAATATAATTAGATTAACTGTCTATTTCTGCAAAGTATTCTGCACGGTACTTTGTACACAGATCTTCAGAAAGGAGTAATTATGTAAGAAATGACTCAGATTCTTCAAAAGACAAAGAACTTTGTTACCAAAAAAGTTTCATGAAAGCCAAATTTAAAGCTATTAAAAATCAAATCTTAAAAACATACATTTTTGACAATCTTCGTTACAAGGAAGTATATAATAATTCTATAAATCTCCAGTTACCAGGATATTCTCAAATACTTGTACATTTGCAGAGAATGTGGCCCCTAGGAGTCAAGTATATTGATTTTGAGAAGTCAACCATAACCCAATCTGTACATTTTACATCACTTGAGACATTGTTCTTTCCTTCTTGCCACAGCCAAGAAGTGAATTTTATCTGTCAGGATTATAAGCAGAAAGTTGACAGATTTCAGAACACTAAGCAGGAAGTCTGGCACCTGAAATATTTTCCTTCAGACCAAGGGGGCATGGAATCGGTTGTTGGAAGAAGAAGGATTTGGATGAGATCACAAAAACTAAAGCTCCTGGTTCTTTGAATGATGCTCTCCCAGGAATCTGGGTGGAAAGAAGCCAAGGCTCAAATTCTTTGTCTTTTCAGCAGTGAATAGGAAAAATTCAACTTTTGAGTGTTATCTCAGCAGTTACTTTCACTCAGTTTTGCCCCTTCGGCCCTAAAATGAATGAAACGTTTTCAAAGCAGATGGCAGTGAGTCAAGCAGAAACGTGGAAAGTAAGTACATCCCCAGTTCCACGAAGTCCTGAAGCTTGATTACAGCACTCCCATGGGCCATGTAAACAGGGGACCAGAAACTGAGCAGAAGACAGATTTAAGCCAGTGGGGAGGAGACTGTAGGACTAGGACGGGGTGAGCGCCACATGTGGCTTTAATATCCAACAGCTGCTAGAGATCATCACCCCGCTGCTCTCCCTGTACCCCCACACCAGAATCCTCTGTTTCAAAGACCATAACTAAAGCGGCCACTGCCATGTTATCTGAGTAACGAACTCAACCTCGAGCACATTCAAGGACATTTTTTAACTTAGTGTACCTGAATGTAGCCGACTGGATCTTTAATCACTAAACCAAAGCTTTAAAACAAAGTCTCCAGGAAAGAACAAGAAGGAAAATCAATTACACAGTGCACTTGAGCAGACTGGGGAGGAGGGTAAAAGAAAAGTGAGGGAAGATGGGGCAGCCGGGATTCCCTGGACTGGAGCTCTCTTCTCTAGAGCTAACTTTTCAGACCTGGAGCTCTCCAAGGCCCCCGCAACTCAGTGAGTCTCGGGGCACCAACAAATCCCCGCGAGGGTCACCACCCCCGCGAACGCAGCGTCCACACGCCGATTCCCGCGCTTGCGATGCCCCGACCCGTCCCTGGTCCCCGCACAGACAATGCCGCGCGCGCTTCCCGCAGCCACTCCGGGACCCGCGCCCCGCGCCGCCCGGAGGTCACCCAGCGTCTGCCGGGGACACTCACCGACACCAGGAACTCCAGTGTGCCCACATAGTCCCGCTCGGTCTTCTGGAGCTCGCTGAGCACGCACACGCGCAGGCGAAGCTGCTTCTCCAGGTCCTTGGCGCTCTCGGCGCGGCAGTCCCCGCGGCTGTCCTCGCTCATGGTCGGCGGCGGTGCGCGTCGCTGCCCGCCGTGCTGAGCGCTGACCCGCGCGCCCGCTGCTGCCCGGCCCCCGGCGGCGAGAAAGGAAAGTTGCCGCCTCCGCCAACTCCGAGGAGGGACAGACGACTTTACATATTGGGGAGAGGCTGGGCGCAAGGAGAGGAGGGGATCGAGCTGGAATCCCGGCGCGGGGGGCGCGGGGCTCGGCAGAGAAAACTCCTCTCGGCAGAGTGGGGGCTCCGGCCAGGCCCTGCGCTCCCGGTCCCGCTGCTCTGGCCTCACACGGCCGGGACTGGAGGGGAAGCGACTTCGGCAGCCACAGCAGTGACTTGGACATTAATCAAAAGCTTTGTATTCATGTGACTCCGACCCTTTACCCTTCGCCAAATCTCAGGAAAAAGGAAACACAACCCTGGGGAAGTGCTGCGTGCTGGCTAATCACACAGGCGCGCGCGCACACACACACACACACACACACAGCAGCAGCAGCAGCACTTGAGATGGAACTCACAGGAGGTTCCCAGTCCCAGGGACACACACTCCAAGGCGCAACTCGAGGGTTACTCCTGAGACTCCACTATTATTTAACTTTAATGTGTTTTGTACGAATCCTGAAAGCAAAGAAACAAGTCCCCACGGTTACATAACTGGATGGGAACAAAAACAACCACAGTATTGACCCTCCCGTCTTTGAAAAGACACACATTGATTTTTGGTTTCATTCAAGCACAAAACAGGTTTGCTTTTAAAACCCTCCAACTGAGAATAGTTCACAGGGCAGACACCCTCCAGTCTGAGCTTGGAAAGTCAATTAGCATAATAAATGAAGACACTATGGGAAAATGACAGCCTCTGCCCATGCAATAAACCCCAGATAAAATAAGCGTCACCCTTGTACTGTGCTGTTTTCCATGTCAATAACTTTTTTCAACATCAACATAGTATGTAAATTCATTGAGAGGCGAGGGTATTTGTGCCAGGTTTGTTTCTAAGAGCTGCTGTGATTTAAGACGGTGTCACTAATTGAAAAGATAAAGCTGTTGTTGGATGCTCATCAGAAGATAGAAAGCTAGGTAGATAACGGAAATAATCTTAGGTTTTGAAGATAGACACACAGAACATGCTTGATTTTAAAGTTAAAGTTTATTGTCTTTTCTCACTTGGAAACTAAGCCTTAAATATTTCCAATACATTTGATAGACAAAACAATTTATATATATTTTTGAATTGGTATTATCCACATATAATTTCCACTGATCAACTTAAAACAATCTAAAACTAATGGCATTTAAATAAACTGAAGAGTGAATAGTGTCGATGCAAGAAAGTGGTATGTTAATTTGTTGCAGTCACCGAAAGCATTAGCAAAACTCTAAAACATAAAGATGATTTTCACTATATTTACATTAAAATAATTACCTATTGGTTTTCCAGGTGATGTCTTTCCAGAGCATGGTGTGACCATTCCCCTCTGTAACCACACAAAGAAGGATTGTACTTTCTTTGTATATTAAAGATAAAATTTTTGAATGATGTACACAAAGCTGGTGGATAAGATGTGATTTTCCTCTTTCTTTTACAAATGACTATTTAGAGGTAGCCAAGAGCAAAGGGCAAACAAACTAGATGGCTTCACACTCTATGACAGAAGAACAAAGGGCAAAGCACATTAAAGAGCAGACCTCACAGCACCTAGTAAACAATAAACAAAAGAAGCAGAAGACATAGGAAGCACACAACCAGAAATGAATGGGAAACGCAAGCATGACTGAACCTTCTCCCCATGTACTACAGGCAGCATTTCTTCCTTCCCAGGTCTGCACCTTTCCCTAGGGAAGAAAGCAAGTAAATAAAGCAACTTTCTATCAGTTGTTCTCCTAGATAAAATAGAATCTCTTGTACTAATTGTCCCCAGTAAAGAACTGCTTATACAATTTCCTTCTATCAAAAAATTAGTCTATGGACAGCCCGTTAGGGCTGCAGGCTCATCTCTGAAAGCAGGACACTTGAGTTTGAATCATTAATGGGATTTTACACATCCAAATCACTTACCTCAATTCCACAAACATGCACTGAGGATCTCTACGATCATTGCATAGTGGGAAGGCCCAAGAGCCACAGAGACCCTGATCTGCAGACACATATTTCTCAAGGTGGCTCACAGACCATTGAATTACAATCACCTCAGGTCTTGTTAAAATGAACGTTACTGGCCGGGCGCGGTGGCTCAAGCCTGTAATCCCAGCACTTTGGGAGGCCGAGACGGGCGGATCACGAGGTCAGGAGATCGAGACCATCCTGGCTAACACAGTGAAACCCCGTCTCTACTAAAAACACAAAAAACTAGCCGGGCGAGGTGGCGGGCGCCTGTAGTCCCCGCTACTCGGGAGGCTGAGGCAGGAGAATGGCGTAAACCCGGGAGGCGGAGCTTGCAGTGAGCTGAGATCCGGCCACTGCACTCCAGCCCGGGCGACAGAGCAAGACTCCGTCTCAAAAAAAAAAAAAAAAAAATGAACGTTACTGGATCCCACAAATTTGTTGAATGAGAATCCCAGAGATGTCTGCCCTAAATTCTCTTATCAAGGTCCTCAGATTGTTCTTAAACTCAGTAACATTTGAGAACACCACCTAAAGACTTACAATTAAGTCAGGAAGAGGGTCAAAGTGACATGTAACTCTGTTTAAAAGGTAAGATGAAATGAATGCTTTGCAAAAAAACAAAAACAAAAACTAGTGTGATGGAAGCTAGCAGAAAAATATTCATTTTTAACTGTGTAAATTCAAATGTCTCTCGGAAGTGCTTGTGTAGAAATTCTTAAGATATTTAAAGTTTCTGAACACACTTCTACTCCTTGGTCTACTCCTCAATATCATTTATAATTAATGAACAACTTCAGGACACCATGTAGTGCTTTCTGCCAACCAGCTCTCAATGTCTTCTGTTGTGCTGGCTAGAGTTCTTAAATTCCTCATCAAAGACCTAAGAGCATAAGAAAACAGGGCTGGAGTATCTGGAAACCTTCACTTTGATGGTAAATAAGGTCTTTCATAAACTCTGAATGTGCTATATCCCTCCCCACTTCCTCTTTTGAAACTTTAGGCCCTCTCTGCCAGGAAAAGGAAAGCAACAACCAAAATGATGGACAGGATCCAGTTTTTTTCCTCAAATACTAATGAGGTTGAAGCATCCAGTGAAAAGGAGATGGGAGAAAAGAAAATAGAGGGAAGACTGAGTAGGAAACTAGCTCAGCCATTGAATGTATTCCATATGCATGAACTTGATGTGGTTAGAATCCATTATAATATGGGAGGTTAAGGCTGGAGAATCACTTGTGCCCAGGAGATCAAGGCCACGGTGAGCTATAATCACACCACTGCACTTTAGCCTGGGTGACAGAGCAAGACCTTGTCTCCAAAAAGAAAATGATAATAATATGTTATCATAAGGTTCTAAGAGTCAAAGCACAGGGCACAGTAAGCTTCCTTTGGTCAGGCCCAGAGAAGGGCTACTCCTACACTAAAAGCCTAAAAAATACAAAGCTGCCTTTTTGGAAAAAGAGAACTCCTTGGTCATATTTCAGAGAGAGGTCATTTTGGCCTTTCTGCCATTTCACTAGATCAAATTTGATGCTAAACTTCAGGAAAAGATATAGCACAGAAAAAAATAGAAGGTTGCTTTGTTACATGGCTGGCTGGCTAAATAGGGAACTCTAAGAGTCAGATAGCTCTTTATCAGTAAATTATACAGTAAAGCTCTTTATACAGTAAAACTGATTCTGTCATTTTGTTTACTATTCTGGCCTATGATAGACAGCTGTAGATCATATACACACACACACACAAATGTATATATTTCCATACATATTTTATATATGATATATATGTTTATGTAAGTATACATATATGTGTATATATGATTATATATTATATACATATAATTATATAAAGAAGACTATCATAGATACATTGGAACTATATTAATACATGTTTAAGACTCTTGGACAATAAGTCATTCTAAAAATATTTATTAATTTTGTTTACAGTTCATGCTTAATCCCCTGGTTACTTCCACTTAATTTTTTTGGAAATTTACTCATAACAAGCACAGGATGTTCTAGAGCATGTAATTAATTCTACCATGCCAGTATAACAAGTTTAGAATATGTATTGCTTAAAGCATGAAATGCAGTTTTCATAAACCATATTTTATTCCCTAATACAATGTTTTATGGCAAACTAAATCAATGTTTGGATAGTATTACTTTAGCAAGAATCTAAAGTTCTTAAAGATGCAGTCATTTTCAGATCAGACTAGCTTTAGACCAAATCATCATCATAGCCGTCATCTAACATGTAATGGATAATCACTTTCTCATTATGAAAACTTAATCTACAATCATCACAGTAAAATAAACAGCCAATTTTTGTCTGTGAGTTGTCTCCAAAGAATATCATCCTTCCAGTGTCCATCTGCCTTCTAAGCCTTCGCTCCCCATCACTTCCTTAAAAAATCTGCAACCGCACATGCCTTCAAGCTATGCTACATTACTCTTCTTCCTGGAAAAAATTCGGAAGAGTTCTGCTCATTGTCTGTGACAGGCAGAATAATGGCAGCCCAAAGATGTTTGCATCTTCAGCCCCAGAACTATAAATGTCACTTTACATGGCAAAAGGCAATTACCTGCTGATATGACTAAGTTAGGGAACTGGAGAAAGGAGAGATTTTTCTGGATTATATGGGAGTTGGGGGTGGGCAGTACAAGCACATGAACCCTTAAAAGCAGAGACGCTTTTCAGGTATGATTTCAGAGGGAGATGTGACTGGAGGAATGGTCAGAGAGATGCAACTTTACTGACTTTGAAAATGGAGGAAGGGGCCGTAAGTCAAGAATCATGGGTTGCCTCTATAACCTGGAAAGGGTCCTCCAGAACCTCCCGAAGAAACACAGTCCTGCTAACACTTTGATTTTAGCCCAGTAAGATCCTACAAAACAATAAGATAATAAGTGTATTGTTGTTTTAAACTGCTGAGTTTGTCATAATTTGTTACTACAGCAATAAAAAACTAATACATTGTCCTTACTTCTTTACCTCCCAATCTTTTCTCAATCCCTATAATGTGGCTACTCTCCCACTGCTGCAGTGACACTCATCTGATACAGATCACTAATGTATTTATGTTTTTCATTCCAATGCATGCTTCTCATTTATTGTCTTATTTGACCTTCCGCAGCATTTAACAGTGTTGGTTCCTTCTCATCCTAGGAAAACTCTCTTCCTCTGCCTTCTAAGATGTCAGTGTTCTTTCTTTGGATCCCTGTACCCTTTCCTAGAGGAGTTCTCTTCCTGGACCCATCTCTAAATCTTTAAATTCTTAAATTGTTTTCTACAAGTTGATGTTCTTTGGAGCTTGGTCCTCAGCCTTCTTTTTCTTAGTCTCTCTGGGTCATTTATTCAACATTTCCCATTCCCAATTAGTCAAGGATTGCCCCACTGGGCATTAATTG